CTATAATTTATTCAGCTCATCGTCATTATAATTAGTAATTTATAATTAATTTATATCCCTTGGATAAGGAAGAGATTCTGATTGTCCAATAAAGAGAAACTAAATTGAATTAAATTAAATTTATAATCTTGTGATGAATATTATGTAAATACTTTAAAGTTTTAAATAAATTATATAATAATACAAAATAAATAATATTATTTAGTAAAATTTAAATTACAGTAAAACCTGCTAATGTGACCACTGAAGGGACCAGGTCAAAGTGATCTTACACACCTTATGCAGGTGGTCTCACATTAGTAGGTTTCACATTGCAGAAAATGGTTAAAATTGTTTATAGAAATAATAATTTTATATTCCACTTTACAAAATATTAAAAATAAATCTGAAATATTTAATTTTTAATTTAGTAAATACAATTATTTTATTATAAAATATTATTAAAATTGAAAGTTTTTAACTTAAATAGAATTTTAAATGTTATGATAGCATAATTTTATTATTCTGTTTTTCATTAGTAAACAGATTTAAGTTATTATTTAAAATATAAAGTAATATTTTAAAATTTGAAAGAAAAACAAAAACATTTATATAAAATATTTTTAATATAAATACCAAACATATTATGTGTAGATATGATTGCATGAGACAAAAAACTACTTTAAAAATTTTATTTCTATACTTTCAACATAGAACTTTACAATGAAGTATCAAGTTAAAAATCCGAGAATGTTTATTCAAAAACAAAAAGGAGAATTAAGTGTCAACTTACTCTAAGTTAAAACAATAGAAATTCAGTAAAAGAGTGTAATATTTTGGTGAAAAATAATAAAATTAAAACTAAATATTACCTTTTAAAGTGAAATATAAGTCTTTTCTGTGTTTAAATAAAAAAAACAATAAACTATTTTGCTATTTTATTGGATCAAATACCTTCTATTTTGTGAAAAAGAGATGAGTTTTGTAAAACGGATGCTTACAAATAATAATAATAATAATAATAATAATAAACAATAATTTTTTAAAAAGTTTTAAAATAATTTTTTTCTAAAATATTCTACTCTTTTCAAATAATACAAGATTACATTTTAAATTTAAATAAATGTTTTTTATTTGTTAAAAAACATTTATTTAAATTTGTACAAGTGAATTGAATATTAAGAAGAATGATAAGTGATACAGTTAACACTTGAAAATCAGTTGTTAACAATACTTAAACGTAAATTTAAAAAAAAGTGTATAAAATCAATATTAATAAATAAATTATATCTTAATTTTTTATTTAATTTATAAAATATACTTACATTTGTCATTTAAAAATAAATGTAGAATATATTTATGGTGAAAATGTTCTCACTACATTATTAATTCTTCATCTTCAGAGTGTAATATGTAGATTATATTTTATAAACATTTTTGCTTCTGTTTCTTTGTATTATTTTAAAATAAAATATTTTCACATAAAATTATTATTAATATCTAATTTTTAAGACAAATTTCCGAATATAAAAGACAATTTAATAATATTTTAAAAGCATTTACCTATAACAATGGTAACCTGTCCATATTTATCACGTTATATTATAAAATATATATTTTTTAATTTCTGTAAAAATAGAAGTTATATATAGTAGTTAAAATAAATTTTAGTTTGCTTAATTTTTTAAGAAATATTTTTAAAAACATAAAATTTACCTGTTTTAGAAATAAGAAAGATTAAATATTTTTCTATATAAAAGTTCTGTTTATCATCTGTTAAGGTTGTGTTTTGCAAAGTAAAGTAAAATAATCAAAAGCAAATACGGGCCATCAGCCATAAACACAATCTAATCGAGTAAGCAAAAGGCGATTGATACAAGGAATACAACATATTGTTTGATTACCAGCTCCCACGAGAAGAATTAATCTTATCTCATAGCCGTGAGTAATTTTCCCTTTTATTTTATTTTATTCTTTTTCAAATTCCTATTTATAATTGATAAATAGGAATTTGAAATTCGCATTTGTGTTAAACCAAGTTATATTAATGGAGGAATATGATATATGACAACAAAAAAATCTTTGATCTTTGAATTAAAACAAATGTAGTTATTGTTAAAAATATTTCATAACCTGTTTAATATAATCAATGTTTAATTCTTTCTAAAATAAGGAAATTATTTTTTAAAAATGTTTTAAAAATAAAACGAATCAAAGTTTTAGCTCGGTGTATAGTGTCTGTGAAGAATAAACTGAGTCAATAGAGAGCACTTATAGATTATTTACTGTTTTTTGAATGAAAAGATGTCAGGTAATTTCAAAAAACGAGGATTGTAAGGAAATTCTGGAATCTCAAAGGATCTCGAGCTAAAATAGATTGTCACTTTGGGATCGATTCTCTGTTTGAAAGCTTTACAGAGGTTTAAAACATTAGAAACTCTTAGATACTTCGATAAACACTATTTTCTTTTGTCAAAATAAGAATTTAAAATAAAAATTTTAAAGAATGTATATGTATAAAATATTATTTAGAAGTTTTTATCATGTTTCGAAAACTTCAAATGATCGAATCTAAGTGATCTTTTCCTCTAGAGTTTTATGATTATTTCATTATACTTTTTTTACAAGGAAGAATATTTTTAAAAAGTAGATTAAAAAAACTACACTTTAAAGGAGAAAATTTATCAAGAGAAAGGAACAAAACATCATGAATATTCATGTCCTTGTTTTCCTGGGATACAACATGAGCATTAAGATGTATTCTGTATCTCCTGCCTACTTTTCAGACTTTAAATGCGATTCTTTGTTTCCGCTTTCCAATAAAAAATAAATAGAAAAACATTACTTTATAATCGCTATTAAAATACTTTATAAGGAAAATTACTTTAAACTTATTTATAGACAATTTTCAAAGTTTATTTTCATTATTTATCTGGATTGAAAAGGCTGGTTCTATTCATTGCATCTTCCTTTAGAATAAATAAATTTATCTTCCTTATTTTACTCTATATATTCTTAAAAGTTAAACCTGTATTTTTTTATTATAATAAATAACTGACATTAAATTAAAAAAAGAATATTTTAGTTTATTTTTACCAGAATTCCTTTTATTTTTTTTGGTTAAGAGCACCAAAAGTTGTTACAATCAAAAGCTAAGGTATCACTTACTCGGGGCGACATTTCTGTTCCACTCCATTAGTGGTTGGACAGAAAGGTTATTTGTCACGTGAAAAAGTCACGAGTTGGTCCCCTTCCCTGTGGGTTAGTTTGATTGTGACCTTAGTCTTCGTTTAGTTTAACACAAATGCGAACAATTTTAGACAGGAAAAAATATATACAGTTAAATCTTACAGTATATATAATATCAATTATTAAAAATAAAATAATTATTTTGAGTATATTTTTTAAAAATTTAACTTAAAAAAAGTACGAAGAAACTATGCTTGAATTTAATTAATTATAAATGTAAAATCTTTATTGATTCAACTTATTGTAATTTACATAATATAAATATTTTTTGTTATTTTAAAAATGAATTTTTATTTCTAATAAAACCATTTTTTTATTCATAAATATTTTAAAACATTACAAATATATTCGAAAATATTATTCGAATTTAATTTCAATTTAATAAATATTAATCGCATGTTATTATACTTATACTGAAAATTTCTTTTTTTTTTCTTTTTACTTCATTTAATTAACTCTGTTAATAAAAGTTGTATGTTTAATTATAAATTTTACTGTTTAAAACTGGTGAAGTATGCAAAGTTTTTACAGAAATTACAGAAAAATTTATTGTTTTTTAAGCCATTTAAATAATGTATACAGTTTTATTTTTAGTACAAATTAATTTGAAAAAATTGTAAATGATGCTAAGCATTACAGTTAAGATTATCGTTTAGTATAAAACGGTTTTATAAAAATTTATTGAACATGTTATAAACATAAGCTAGATAGATTTATTCAAAATAAAGTATTCAGGACAAACCATGCTTTTAACACTGTTAAACTCCAGTATATTCCAGATAAGAAGCGTTAAAAAGTTAAGAGTATTTAATATCCAAACATGTAAGGTGTCTTGTAGTAATAAAGGTATCAACACGTTAGCTGTTAATAGTCTTCTTTTAAAGAAAGCTATTTCTTTAAAGCTACTTCTATTTTATCGACGCCATTATAGTGACGTCATCTTGCAGTATGCAGTATAGTGAAGCGATAGGCAAAGACTTTAAAACAGCTTCAGGTACTTTAGTAAGTAGAAGCTTTACGACATCCAAAGAGCAAAATCATACCGATAGAGTATTCCTTTGGGATGGAAATTTCCACAGACAAGTACAAGATGGGCGAAAGTTGATGGCACTCTTGGGATAAATAAACTCCAAAGTTAACCCTGAGACGTTCGTTTTGGTAGAAATGATGAATGGAGAAAAGAAAGTACACAATTGATCAGCTAACTTTACTGTATACAAGTCTGTGGAATCAACGCCTAATATTTCAACAACTTCATCCATCAACTGACCAGCAAATGGACAAGATGGTCTTCCTTTTTTCCGTTTACGACGTTGTTGGCGCCTTGTTTCCACTCAAATCAATAGGAACCTTGTCCATCCGATAATCCTAAATGTACACTCTTCCAGCAGATTATTTTTAGTTCATATTTACAAGTTAAAACTAATTCACTTATGAACAATGAACTCGGGAATTTCGTGCTTAGCATTCCATTGTCATATGTAGTTATTATGATGATATTAAAATTCTAATTATCTGTCAAAAGGCACGTAGATAAATAGTTATTGCTTTACTAGAATTTTATTAGTAACACATGCTGAGGAATTTGTAATATTTCTGAACAGATACCAAAAGCATCCAGATAATATATTGAATTAACGATCTGATAAATGAGATACAATTGCTTATATTTATACAATCTTACATATTCCTGAAGTGAATTTTATTATTAATTAATATATTCGCTTAATAACGAGATACTACACAGAAACTGGTAAATTTTTAAAGTTTTGAAGTAATTTGTAACAGTGTTTAAGTTAATTAATTAAAATAAATAATTGAAAAGGTATTTTATATTGCATATCAATAAAATTGCTTTATTTTTCTAAGTACAGGGCATGAGTTTGTAGACAGTTAAAGAACTCCCAAGGGTTCACCTCCAACCACTGGTTTGTGTCCCAGAATTACTTGGACATGTTTTGCCGCTTTCACCCATTGTCTGGCACTTTCTAACACCTCTCAGAGCAATCTCGCGCCTTTCTACAGACATCTTTATGTACTTCTGTTGTTACCTCAGAGACTTTTGTCAGATTGTCCGAGTAATATTCTGAACGAGAAATTGCAATTTACAAAGTCACTCGAAATTATATGATTTTTTCCCTCTTGTTTTTTTTTTTTTTATATGAGGAGAGAGTTATTTCAAATGCTGCTAAAAGCAATAAACAAACTTTTGGACGTATTATAAATATTTAACACGAAAATAATTATTTATAAATTAATAGTTAAACACTTTTGAAAAGAGTTAATTTTGAATAAAGTAAATTAAAATTTCATCAACTTATTTGTTGGGCTCATCTATGACAAAATGTTAATGGGATTTTAAATTAAATTATTCAAAGTTAACACAATCATTAGCGTTTTATGATTAATTTGTGAATAATTATTAAAATTTAAATTACGATGGATAATGTTTTAAAAATTTTATTAATTTATTTAAAAAATATAGGCCTATATATATATACACACATATTTTTACATTAAATTTTTACCATGTTAACTTATAAAGTTACTCGTCCAAAAAGTAATTTTTGTGAACTTTTTAAATTATTTTCTCTTTTTCTAACATTAAAATGTAAAACTTAAAAAAATATATATTTTAAACTCATCTAATTTAATTTTATAAATAGAAAAATTAAATTACTTCTACATTTCTACAACGCCTATTGCAGTACAGTACAATTTGTTGAATATAAACTTAGACCAGGTTCAATAATAACGGGGCAGTGTTTCTATAACGCTTGCACACAAGAAAAGAAGGGGAAAAAAATCATATGATAAACGTTACTACCAAATACACATTAATGCTTACCGATTAAAGAAGTTTTGTATGAGTCGTGTACGACTTTTCCTAACGACGAAACATAGAACATCTGGCGACAGTGCTGACACCATGAACTTAATGGAAACCACCAGCCCTTGAACGTGATCTGTCATTCGGAATAGCAACCTCTCCAATAGACCGTTAGTCTTGTGACTGACTAGTATAAACATATCCAAGGAAAAAGAAGAAGAAGGAAAAAATGTATTCGTAGAAAATCGATTGAAAAAACAATTTCTGGATAAATAAATATGTATTTAAGTAATACGAAAAGTAAAAGTTAATAATTATTCTTCTAGAAAGATGTATGGCAATGTTTAATAACACCTTTGTTCCGAGAAGGTGTCTTTGGTCAAAAGGTTGTGAAAGACAAGTCGATATTGAGGAAAGACGGAACCATCTGCTGTCTCTTGTTGTTCCATGAAGCAGTACGACGACCGTGACAACTTCTCTTCTCCTTTGAACCAATTACATCACAGGAGGGTCAAGTAACGACAGCCCTGTTCACAGTTTCTGTCTCCTTCTTCTCTCTTGTCACATATTTGTTCCTAAATGCCATCAGTTTTATCAGGCACATATTTATTTTAAAAAGATTTCAAAAAATTCTATTTAGAAAATAACGTTAAATCATTATAATAAATAATTGCTAATGTTAATGATAATTGCAAAAAAAAATGAATTAAAATATAATTTATATATTTTTTTAATGTAATTAAAAATAAATTAATTTAAATTTCGACCTTTTTTTAATATATTAAAATGAGTAAGATGTAATTGTAAAAATAATTAAGATAAAAAATTGAAGTTTAATATGAAATATTTTCATAAAAATTTAAATTCAATTTTTTTTTATTCGAGAGTTTTAATCAATCTTAGTACAGTAATTTATCGTACTTACGACTATTTTTTTTAATTGTATCATTTGAAAATCTGTTTTTAACTTCGGATTTTATTGCTGATAGAATAGACAAAATATAACGTTTAAATATAATATATCAAAAGTTAACTTTATTAAAACTTTTCCAGATTATTTAAATTCATTCTACATCTTTTCATATGTTTAAAAGTTTTTGTTTTCTTTTTAATCAAGAAAAATGATTAAGAGGAAAAAACTCCAGATGGCCATTTTCCTGAATGCACCAACTTGTTTCTGAATGTTCAAAAGTCAAAAGTTTTTCTAATCTAAGATTTTCTATTAAATCGATAATTAACAAAAATGAGAATGGAAATCCGAAATCTCTAAAAAAAAAAATAATACAAAACTAGATACGATAATATGTTCAATTTAATATCGATAGATTAAATTTAAAGTGTTTATGCTGTATAATAAAGATCATAAAATATTAAACGTGTATTAAAAAATGAATTATCTTCATAAATTGTTTTGATAATTCGATTTAAATGTTTACTAATTTTATTTTTATTTTCGTTTAATTTATAGATTTTTTTTCTCTTTATAAACATTAAACGACATTATTTTTCTTTTAAATTTACTTTTTAAATGATAAATTTCGTAATTAAAATATAAAAAAAATATCCTAAACTCGATGAAAATTATTCGCGATATTTTATTTATTTATTTTAAAATAAATAAAATAATTAATAATTTTTATTATTTAATCAAGTTNCGAATATAAAGTTTAAAAATGTGTTTTAAATTTACTAAAAATTTAATTATAATTCTTTCTTTAAAACTTTTTAAATAAAATATTTTTAATGTTTCATAAAAATCAAAAATTACTTCAGAGAAATTACACTTAAGAAAATTTTCATTACCGTTGTTGTATTGAAATACTGTATTTAGAATTTTTTTTCCTTTCTTTCTCCTAAATTTTAATTAAATATTCATTTTTTAAATTTTACATTACCAGATTACTTGCAAAGTTTACTTTCGTTCTTTTCTTTCAATAATAAATTTATATAATTAGGTATAGAGAAATTAATAAAAATTTCTGTTTGTGTGGATTACCTTTATGCTCAAATAAAGGGAGTATGTGGATGGCGAAACAAATATCTTCTTTGACTAAACAATATTAATTAAATGTCTAGTAGCATTAGAAGTTATCTGCGCGTTAATTACACAGTGTACTTGTCGTTACCAGAAGTGCTTCTATTAAATTGACTTTTCCATTAACCCTATCAACAGATGAATAGGGAAGGTATGCGAATTCAGCCTTTCCAGCTTATTCTATTCTTAAAATAGTTTAATTAGAAGGTCCAAGAATAAAACTGACCACAGAATATTTGATTAATTGAGTCTTATAATCGGTATTCGCCTGAATTTAAATTAAAATGTATTGATCTTCATTAACTTCTTATAATTGCCTATAAGTCTGAAGTACCTAAAATTTTAATTTTGTTACACGAGTTTTAAATTCAGTTACAAAGTAAAATAATGGAAGAAACTCTAAAGTTTCTACTGTTATTTTAGTTAATTTAGACGCGAATCTATTAAAGAAATAATTAAATTTATGGAAATTTTTACGATATTTTTTTAGCTTTGTTGTTGGTTATTTCATAAAACTTTGCTTGTAATGATAACATTTTAATATATATTACTTAATACTGATAATCTTATTACCGGATTTCCATGAGTAACTTGTAAATGTTTGATATTGCTTAACATTATCATATATATAAGCTATATAGATTGAGCCTTTATATATATATATATGCATATAACTATATATATATGAGGTCCATTCCGAATTAATTAAATACTCGAATTTGCGTATGCTTAATTAATATGTGCTTATGAGATTATAGATAAATTTAACATAGTTTCGGTAAAACTAATACAAAACACATATAAATATATGGATCTATAAATATATATATATATGAATATTATGTATAACGCAACTAATTTCCGAGTAGAAAGCGTAAATTATGCAAAACTGAATATAGTTTAATATGAAAAATTATAATATATAGACCAGGAAAATGTAATTATCACACGATTCAATGGAGAGAGAGGGACCGACAACCGTATAAGAATTTATTAAATAATTTTACATCCATGAAAATTTAATTATCACTTATGTAAGAGTTAAACTTTTTATGTGTTCGAAGTTAGTGATTTCTGAAAGATTAATCAGATAAAAGTTTGTCACAACAGTCTTAAGGGCGAATAACGAGAGTGATATCAACACTTTCTATTTGGTGTTTGCTGATCCATTGATAGGTTAGAAAGGACAGTGCATACTCTTCTCGTTAACGTGGGATGCCGTAAAATGTGTGAAAACCACAAACATTCCCTTAAAAATTTGCTAATGAAGTTTTAGGTCTAGAATCTAATCGGCTGAATATTTGCATCGAGTTTACTATTTTTCAACAAAATTTTAATTAATATCTTAACAGAAACTTGTTTTTGGGTCTTTTTTTCAGAGCGGGGTAGCAAGCTCGTAAGCTTTGTTATAATGGAATAAAAAACTAGTCGTGATATATAAGTATGTCATAATATCTTACTATAATACATCTATTTAATTATATATTATATATATATAATTTTATGTGATCTAAATATTATAATGTTTATAGCCTATACTATAATATTAAATGCTGTAATGGGTATGTAATATGATTTTAAATGACACTATAAGTTTCTAAATATAAAAGAATATTGTGTCTATGTCGGCTAATTTTTCATTTCTTTTTTCTAATATGATACGATAATAGTATTTACTCTAAGAATTTTCTCATATTACTTAAGAAATACAAATATCATCAGTAAAATAAGTAAAAGTTCTCTTATTAAATAACAGATTAAATAAAAGAATAACAGTAAAAATATTAGAAATTAAAATAGAATAGGATGAATGAAAACATTTTTCAGAAAAAAATTCTTTCTATAGTTGAATAAATTACTCAAAAACTGAAAATAATACTATAATACTTGTAATCATGATTTATATTCGTAGAAAAAAGAAAGCGAACATTTCTATATAAATCCAAATTATAAAATAATTCAAAGTTATATAATCTTACTTCGGAGTATATTATTTATAAAAGAAAAAATATGAAAAAAATATATATATAATTTTAACGAATGAAGCATTTTACATTTAAATATCGCGTGGGTTTTGTTTTCTAGTTAAGTGATTTTTCACTCCTCCTAATGTTGTGATAGATCCGCCCCAGTTTCCTGTTGAGCAGATTCCTAGTCTTAGAAGAGAATAAGGATAGTCGAGGAGGTGACAGTAGTTCTATTAACCTTCTTGTGACGATAGCTGTGAAAGCACTTCTACACCTACCTTGACCTAAAGATTCTTTAGTAACTTAACAATTCTGCCAAATACTTTATTCTTTTTAATATAATATTGTACAAATATTTAAAATTAATTAAATTTCGCTTTAATTTAATTTAATTTTTAATAATAAACAATTTTTCTAAATAAAAAGTTTAATTAACTTTTAGATATTATTTTACTTGTGATTTAAATTTTTCTATAATAAATAAAGAGGATTTAAATATTATTTTTTTTAAATATAAATTTTAAGAAGATTTCTGTTTTATTTCACAAATTTCTTCAGGTTTTATGCTTAAGAATGCAAGAGTTTTACAAAAATAATGCAAATTGATTGTTTCTTCCTGAAAAATGTTCAAAATTGATTTGCTTATTAAACGCTAGATGGCTCTGATATAATAACAAAAAATTCACCTAATCAATGATGTAATGGTAAATCCTGCAGACACAAAATTTTAAATTTAAACAAAAATAATAATATTAATAAATAAAAACATATAAAATAATAACGTAATTAAATAATATATTTTAACAATATTAAAGACATTTCTATTGATTCTTTCTTCTAATTTAATAAATTAGTTTATTCTTTACATTAGTAATAATATTAATAATAATCAGTTCGAATTCCCATATAAAAAATTCTTTTTGAAAGAAATAAAATAAAATTCGAAGCTTAATTAGGATGAGTTTTATAAGCTGCAATCATTCTGTAATTTAATATGTAAAGAATGACACATAAAAATCATAACTTATAAAAAATAAAGGAAAATTTTTAAAAAATACTACGTTTTTTCCTATTGACTTAAAGAAATTTATAACTAGCGATAAAGAAAAAAAAAGCTCTATAAATGATTAAAAAATTGCTTAAAGGCTTAAATTTACGAGGAATTTTTAGATATTTTTAATTTAGATTTATATTATGATGGAAAATTGTAGTAAAACTAATATTAGCTGCGCTTTTATTTTTAATATAAGAGTTCAGTTTTATCTGGAATATTCTTAATTCTTTTATTTTTTTTTTATCGTTTTCAGATTTAATTTGATCAAGAAAATGACAAATAAAATATGTAAAAAAATAAGTTTGGAATATTTTAATGTCAGACTCATTAAAATGTAAATTTTAAATTCGTATTTAATGATATTTAGTAATAAAATGTAATATNAAAATAAATAAAGAATTAATATACTTATTGATATTAAATAAAAAATATAAAATTCATGTATAAAATAAAGTACAGTTTATAATATATAGCCTATATAAATAAAAAAATAAAATACAGTTAGTAACTCGATTTTTT